GTACAGCTTTGGAAACTATTGGGGCAGTCTACCAGCCTCTGGGGTCATTATGAGTCAGAATTAACTTGAGTGAGGCCATTGGGTTGAGTTGGGTTTTTCTCCAGAATTGGAAGATGCCTTATTTGTCTCTGGGTCCCCAGTGCCTCTTACAGGGCCTAGATCGTGGTATTCAGTCAGAGATTATATGATGAAAGGTTCTTGAATGATTGAATGAAAAGCAAGTACTACTTTTTGTATTATTATTTAAAGCTTCCTTTACCAGCTGGGAGGTTTCTCTCAGTGCAAAGTACTTTTTCCTCAAAATAAACCTGAAGTATGTGTCAGTACCAGAATGCAAGTGGATCAAAAGACCTTTATTTTTTTTATTCTGCTTTTTCCATAAAGTGAAAAAAGTTCCTTTGTTACCTAAAATATCTGCGCCAGATCGTACAACGCTGTCTCTTAGCGCAAGTACTTATTATTGTGGCTAATTTGGTCACATGTGTTTGAGGCAGAACAATGCCTCAGAAATTTTTAAAAGCAAAACAGCAATCTGAAGCGTTTGTTGTAATGAGATGTAAATTGCCAACATCAGTAGTGAAGCAGACTAGAATTTGCAATGAAGTGTGTTTTTTCCCCCTCTTAAATTAAAGCCACTAGAGCCCTCCCTCCCCTCTCCAAGGAAACCACATGGTTTTTTGTTCCTTTTCTTCTTGATTCTATCATGCTAAACATTGTGCTTTATTGATTGAGCCACTCCTTCATTCATCTGTCGTTTTCTGAGTCTCTATTTTACCATGCCTGCCATGGTGCTCAGTTCTCTGCGAGGCATTATTAGCATGCAAGGTGGCTGCTGATAATCCCCATTTTTTAGATAGGAGAGACAATTAAGGCCCAGAGAGGTTAGGTGACTTGTCTAACTAAGGTCCTAAAACTAGGATTCACACCCAGGTCTGCTGAAGACCCTTTTCCAAGGTGCTCCTTTGGCTGAACCGCTGTTCTTGCTGAAGCTGAGACTGGTACCATGTGTGTGGAAGGAGGCTGTCACAGAAAGCAGGGCCCCCAGTACCCAGCAGCCACGCTCAGGTTGTTACACAGGGCTGACCAAGTGTGTCAGGAAGTCATATTCCTTGAGCCAGAAGATACCAGTATAGTAACCAGTCATTTGATAAGACTCCAGCAGTCTCTCAGAAGACAGTGGAGGAGGATGTGTGCGTTGTAGAGTACCAAGGATCTGTGCTAACATTAAGGGCAAAGAACGCGAAGCAGGACCTCCACTCATGGAGCCGCCACTTGGGAATAGGCTAATTTAAGTGCAAGAGTGAGTCTAGTGCATGCATGTGGGAGGGGGAGGAGGGAAGGGATCCAGAGTTTACAGAGCACCCACTGGGCTAGATTCTGGATTAATCATGTTACATATGTGGTGAACACTTTTCATCTTCAGTTTTGCCAAGTTGCTGTTGTCATTCCTTCTTTCAGGTGAGGCAATCAGGCCTGAGAGGTTAAGTAATCATTCATGTGTAAATCATCTGTTTAGAATAGAATTTGAACCAGGCACTGTGTGTGTGCCAAATCCTGGACCTTACCTTAAAAAACACATGATCCCTGCCTACCTTCAGGGCTTACAGTCCAGTGGGGAAGACAGACATAAAACAAATGATTACATCTAATTATTATGGAAGAGTTGGGGGAGGGGACTAGGGAGGCCCCAAATGAGAGCAGAATTCTACTACTTGAGGTGGGGGTGGGATTTGAGAAAGACTTCATATGGCTTGCTGGAGATCTCAACTCACCAACACAGTAAGTGGCAAGCCCAGAATTTTAAACCCTGTTCTCTCTCTGATTTACAATCCCAAGCCAAAAAATGGAAAGATTATTTACCTCCATTTGACGGAATGTTGTTTTTGTTATGTGCAGTTGAGTTGGTTCCTACCCATAGTGACCTTGTTTAAGGTTTCTGAGGAACGGCTGATAAGCTTGAACCACTGCCCTTTTGACTCAAAGCAACTTTGCAGTCCAGCGCATTAATCCACCGCGCCACACCAGGACTCCTTTGAGGGGACAGGGAAACCTTTATGGAGGAGGTGGTATTTTAAATCGGGCCATGAATGACTGGTGGGGTTTGTATAGGTGGGCGTCCTTAGAGATAGAATGTTTGGGCAGAAGGAAAGACCCAAGCAAAGGCTAGGAGGAAGGAAAGAATGGCAGGTGTGTGGAGAGGATCAGGTAGTTTCATCTGATTGGAATGAAGTCATTCCAATCAGGGAAGGTGACCAGCAGGAGATGAAGCCACAGAGATGATTTGGCTGATGCGTCTTCTAAATGTCCTCTGTAGACACTGGAAGTTGAGTATTTAACTTCGGACATCTGGACTGTCCATTCTCCTGGATAAATGCTTCTGATTTCTACTTAACAGACTGATTTTGATATAGATATCATATAGAGTTTGAGAGAACAGCATCCAACTGCTACCTCCAGGTATCTGAGTCAGCAGCAGGGCTTTATTTCAGAATCTTTGCCCTATTCCATTCTTCTCTCCCTCTTACATTGAATTCATAAATTCATGGAGATTTTACCAAGAGCCTGCAATGTTCCACTCATTGTTCCAGGCTCTACAAATAGGAAGGGAGTGAAACATGGTCTTTGCCTTGAAGAGCTTCACAGTTTAATGTTGGAAACAGGCAGGACAGTGGATGATGACAAACATGATATACTAGAAGCTTTTGGAGTCCTGGTTTGATGCTGTAGAATAAACACTGGATTGATAACTGAAAGGTCTGTGTTTCAAACCCACCAGCCGCTCCTTGGAAACCCTATAGAGGATTGCTATGAATCAGAACCGACTCAATGGCACTTAACAACACCATTTATATTGCAGAGTAAAACCTCTTTGTGATTTGAGCAAGGCCTCAGACAGGATACACCTAAGGTGCATCCTGAAGTCTAATCAGAGGCTTGGCAGGTAAATGAGGTAGTGTTCAAGTCTGAGGGAATAACACATCCAAAGGCACAGAAGACTGAGACCTGAGTTGGGTCTGACTAGAGCACAGGTGCATAGCAGAGAGCACACTGTGAGCCGTGGAAGTCGAGAGGAGTCTGGTTGTCCTGAGCGTTACGGAAGTTAGGAAGTAGGACTTAATTTTGAGGCTGATGGGGAGCTTAAGCAAAGAAGAGCACTGTCTCTTGAAAGATCCCTTTAGCAGCCATTCTGGAGATGGTTGGGAAGGCATCTGACTGTGAAGTCATAACTGGATGAAAAATGAGGCTTCAGAGCAGGGGCTTGGTACTGGCAAAGATGACCTGTGAGCCACTTGCTGCAGGTGCTTTCCCCTCTCCTCCTTTCTCCTGTCCTGATTGAAGAAGAGACTTCAGGCCCAATAGGCAAACAGAAGTAATAATCTTCAGATCCAAGAAAAAAATCAAAGGTTCCACTTGAATTTGTTTGCATTTCAGAAATTCAACCTGAGATCCCATACAGAGAGAGGAAAGACTTGGTGCATCTGCTTTTAAAGCTCCAGAATTGTTCATCCATGTTTGTCATGCGTTCATTCATTTAGCAAATAAGTGTTCAGCCAGTTCAGAGATTTTGGAAAGTACTCAGTGTCAGGTCTGGGAACAAAGAACAGACTAAAACCTAGTCCTAGCCCTTTAATATGCTGTGTGCTATGAGGATATACCATCAAAATGATTATGATGCTGTCCACAATGCACTCTCCAGTGATCCCACAATTAAAACAGCAAAACCAGCAATGAGACCTGAGACCTTCCTGCTAGGCCTGGCCATACTCTTTCAGTTACACTGTTCTCCGCAGTCATCTTGCATTCAGCCTTGTGCAAAGTGCAAACTTAAATCTTTGAAGACTTCAGAGCGTCTGGTTTGCAGATGGCAGCTTCCAGCAACTCAGGATTGATATTCTGGGAAGCTCTGTCATGATGAATGTTCCCTGCCACCAGCCAGAGTCTGAAATGTAGCAATTGACCGTAGAATTGCTGTCTGATTGTTGCACTGGACTGTAGTCTATAGAGCTGTGTACCCAGTTGGCCACATGGTTAGGATGGGGACCTAGCATAGACCATATATTCATCAGTTGCTAAAGTTACACAGCTCTACCCATACACACAGCACTGGGGAGCTGCTGGGGCAGTAACTAGGTTTCGCATAACTCCTCACATGTTTGAATTGGGAGAATTTCCAACATGCTAAACTCTCGATTGGCCTTTGGAGTTGCTCCTCCCTCAAAAGTTAATCAAATCATTCAGCCTTATTTACCCATTTCATCCTTTTTTTCTCTACCCTTTGGTAATCAAGACACAATAGGTGATTTTTTAATAGTAGTCCATCATTTTAAAAGCTAATGGAAGGGGAAAAAAAGATCCTATCTAGCTATTTAAAGTGCATGTAATTTTTGTTGATTGCATTAAAATAAAAATCAGGGTAGCTGCTGGATCAGGCAATCAGGGCCTTGCTTAATCTGTATTGTATTTTAATTTCTTGGTTGAAATGCTCCTGCCTGGATACTAGGTGGATAGTTGTGGGGGAGGGGAGGCCACTGCTCTTGCACCCTCCCTTCTTCCTCTGTCTCCGTGGCACTGTAGGCGACAGAGATGGAGTTTTTGGAAAGTACACAATTTGCATATTCTAGTAATTCCCACCTCTTCTCCTTCCACCCCGTCTTAACAGAACTTCTCTCCTGTACAGGAAGTTGAGTCCCCCGCATTTCCATTTCAACAGTGACACCATAAGAGAGAGTGCTTCTCATTCATGCTTAATTAGAGTCGAGTTCTTTCTTGTCTTCCAATTTTCCACTCTTTCCCCTGGTGACGTTCATACCTCATATCATTTTCAAGTCTGGGTTTAAGTGTAGTCCAATGAACAAAAATAAGCCAGCATTTAAAAATATTTTTTTTTTTTTTTTTTTTGGTGCCTCTGTGTGCTGATAGATGCGTAGTTTAAAAAAAAAAAAAAAATGCATTTTATTTTCCTTGGAGTTCTAGACAGATCTCTTTTCTTAACTGCCTAGGTCCCGCCATTGACTTGGAAAAAGTCAAGTCAGAATGTCTCGAGCCCGAGCCGGAGTTACGGAGCCCTTTCAGTGAGGAAGCAAATACGTCGTCCTATTACCCCGCTCCTGCGCCTGTCATGGACAAGTATATCCTAGACAATGGCAAGGTAGTGTTTTCAGCTCAATATCGATTCCCTGCAAGTGTTTGTTAGTCAGACTCAAGGTGGAGAGTTTGGTGGCAGCTTTGACTGGTTGGCCTCCTCACCTAGCCCAGCTTGACTCTTTCAGGAATCCATGTGTTAAGTAGCTAGTGTAGCTTTGTTTGGACTTTTTCTTATTCTCATTCTTCTTCCATTAAAATGAAAATGGAGGTAAATAAAAGCAACTATAAAAAATGAAATCGCATTTTAAATAGCTCATGAGTGAGAAAGGTTTTTTTGTTTGTTTGTTTGTTTGTTTTTGAAAGCCATAGGTAGGTTGATGAAACTTGTCCTTAACCCCTATGAAATCAGATGCATACAATGTATAACGTGAACTGGAAATAGAATATCTGATTTACAGATAACAATTCAGTCTACATTCGTTCTTCATTTACCAAGTAGCTGAGCCCTGTACTAGATACCAGGGATTCAGCAGTGAAGGAGACATGCTTCCTGTCCCTTGTCACTCTCAACTGTGTATTCAGCCCTAGAATCACATACAATTCCTCCAAGGTTTACGGTAGGCCTTTGGGAAATAATCATGAAAGAAAATGTAAGTGCTATTAGGAATTATTGATGATGGTGGCAGTGTTTGTGTGCCATGGAGTTGGTTCCAACCCATAGTGACTCTGTAGTTGTTTCTGAGGCTATACATCTTTATGGGAGCAGAAAGCCTCATCTTTCTCCAATGGAGAGCCTGGTAGATTCGAACTACTGAACTTGAGAGGAACAGCTCAGCTCGTAATCTACTATGCTACCAGAACTCTCTAGGAACCTACTGATAGAAGAATGCAAAGTAATGAAATAACCTTTGGAAGTCTTAAGGCTCCACGGTGCCATAGTGGCAAAAGGAGGGCAGAAAACTGTTGTGACATGATCTTGGAAGATGTATGTGTATTGGAGCCCTTTGCTCGGCACTGGTGAAATCAACCTCTCGTTTTACCTTCTTTGCCACTATGGCAGTGGACATACACTACAGACCTCACCTCTCACTTCCCCCAAAAGAGTCATCGGTGTCAGCCCATTTTTCTTATCTTATGCTCTGAAAGGCCTCTGTTTATCTAGGATGCCTAGAAGAAAAAGAGCAGGGCTTTGTTATTTGAATTTGTTCAGATATATCCCTGCAAGTGACCAGCTTGAGCCAAGCAAATATTGTCAAGCTGGGGAAATGAAACCTCTAGATATGCTGCCATTCCCTGCGTCTCCCCCTGAGCACTGCCTCCTCTGCAGAGGCAGGACTGACGGACCAGACCACATGCCCATTCTGTCTTACCTTACTCTAGCCAACAGCCTTCACAAGTCTGCTTTGCAAGGGAAAGGGGCTATGACAGTAGAAGTAGGCAGCCTGCAGCCTAAGTTCGAGGCATAGGTAGGTCTGTCTTGGTATTTCCCTCCTCAGGACTCAGTGTCCCTATCCGCAAAAGGTGGATGGGACTGATGGTCTCCATAAACCTTTTGTGACTCTGAGACTCTGTATCTAAGTTTGATATACCTCCCTTATTTGAAGGTTAAATAAAAGGGGGGACTTGCTGTCTGTTGGTTTCTTCCTATTAGTCCTGATCGCACTGGGGACTGGAGATTTTTTCTTTGTTTCTAATAGGAATCTCTCTCTTGCTTTGAAAGCTGATGAGCACTATCTGAGCTTCATGGGTCCTCCCGCTTCTCCCAGAAAATGTGTCTTTTAAACCTTGTTAACTTTTTCACTCATCAGTTGAACAACAAATCTTATCAATGAGAATATCAAAAACTTCATGAGTTTATGCCAACATTAAAACTACCCTGATTTTTGTTTGTGAGTAATTTACAGTTAGGCAGAGAGACTTATTAAGGGGAAGGAGAGGAAAGGGAGTCACTAGAAATGGCTGATGGCTCCCAAAGCAGCATGTCCCACATCTCAGAAATAGCTCTTGTTGTTCTGGTATAGTTTCTGACCCTCTTTTGTTCCTGCCTGCATGAACAGAAGGTTTCACATCTCTGCAAAGCCTGGAATACTAGAAAAGGATGCATTTCCTACTAGGAAGTGAGTATTAGCCTACAAACAGGACAAAAAGACATTTTTTGGATCAAGTTCCACTTGTCAGATGCTGTGTTTTAATGCTCTCCTTTGATATCTAAGGCTAACATTCTGGTCAAATCATCCACTGTTGTTTACTTGAATAGGGCTTACCATAAAAGTTTCTTTCTGATTTTGATAAAGAATATTTCTTTCACTTGTCTCAGATTTTTTTTTTTTTCAAAAACTCATTGAATCCTAAAACTGTGAAGACCATTAAAGATTTCTATTTGGGAGTCCCAGTGTGGTGCTGTGGGTTAACATGCTGGACTGCAAAGTCAGTTTGAATCTCAGAGTTGGTAGTTCAAACTGACTAGTCCATCCTCGGAAACCCTATACAGGGTTGCTATGGGTTGGAACTCACTTAACGGCACTTACCAACAGTTTATATATGGTAATCATAGGGTGAAATCCTGATATGGAGCTGTTGGGGAAGCGGTGGACTGCTAACCAAAAGACTCAAATCCATCAAGCTGCTCCTTGGAAACAGGCTGGTTATGAGTACAAATGGACTCTATGGCACTTAAAAACAATAACAATCATAGATACCACAATCATAATGAAACACACCTAGAATAGGGACTTGTCTGTAATTGTACAACTGGTTAGAGGCAGGGTAAGGACTGCACTTCAGATTGCAGTGTCTGTTCACAGTTCTACAGACATCTGGGCCCCTACCAGAAATGCCCCTTATACCCATGCCTGGTCTAACCCAGGGCCCTTTCCTTCTCTGCTATAGACTTGAGCTGGTACGCTCATGAATATCAGAAACTTTTCTTCTGTGAGGAACAGCAGCTTCTCAGAACTGAAAACCAATGCCCATCAATTTCTTACTGCTTTGTGTTCAGACTTGCTCCAGACAAAGCCAGAACTCTTGCCCACACACAGGTACTGTGAAGGGCTGAATCAGGTGTAAAGGCACTATGAGAGTTAGACATTAAAAGGAACCAAAATGAGCCCTAAAGTAATTAAGGAGCATTTTCTAGATTTGAACAAGGACTTAGAAGATTGGCAGGCTTAAGAAGACAGCGGAAGGCACTCACTCTTAGATAGGCAATGACATCAGTAGAGACATGGGTGAGGGCAGAAGGCAAAGGATGTAACAGCTACTGGTTGTATACTGTCCTGCTACCATTTTATTCATAGATCTCATTTAATTCTCACAACAGTTCGATGAGGTGCATGGTGGTCTGTCCATTTTACAGCTGAGGAAAGTAAAGCTCAGAGCGTAATGCAGCTTATGATGCATAACTAGTATGTTGAAGAGCAAGGATTCTCTCCAGACCTGGTAACTCCAGAGCCCATCCTTTTTGTTACAGTTCATTGGAAGTAGAAGGAAATGACAGAAAGAGTTAGAAGCTTCCGGGGAATAGCAGACATAGGAGGGAAGCCAAGATTAGCAGGCTGAATGGAGATTGGGTGCTACATGGTGTTTAAAGCCACACTGAGAAGATTGTATTTTAATGTAAAGGGAAGCAGGGAGCCATTCAAGATTCCAGAGGATTGACATCAACATCAGAGAGTTGAAAGGAGCTCTGAAAATTAATTTGGCAGTGTTTCTGGGACAGGTTAGGAGGAACAGAACTAGAGGCAAGGAGGCCTTTTTCCTGAATTCCCCTCTGTGACCCCCACTGTGACATGTGTAGGGGAAAATTCTGAAGGAAAAGTGTTTCAATCCCATCAGCCCCCCTGTGAAACAAGCATCTGCAAGGAAGTCCAGGAGACACATGTGCTTGGGAATCAGCCAGATTTGGATATGAATTTTGATTCCAAAGTTTGCTGACTGTGTGTCTTAGGAAAAGCAACTGAGTCTCTCTGAATTGCTGTGCTTATCTGTGGAATGAGAATAATAATTTCTACCTATTTTCATCTCCTAAAATCACTGTGGGGATTCAATAAAGCTGAATATACAATGCTGAGTGTACATTCTCTGACTAATTATAGGTGCAAGCTGTTAGTATCCCCTTTCCTTGTAGAGCATTGGCTAAAATAACGTTCATTTCTCTTGTAAGAAGGATAAATCAAAAGAGAAGCAAGGCCCAAGGTAGAAAAGTGCAGAGATCTTTGAAAAAATGTAGGTTGTCTTTCATCTTTAAGGTTTTCTCACTTTGAATTGAATCTCATTCAGAGTTCCTTGTTCCATGGCTCCCTCAATCTCAGGCCTGAAGTTTGGGGGTGGGAGGTGGGGATGTTTCAGAGAATCACCAGTGCAGATAAAGTGAGGTCCAACTCATCCCCATTGTGCCCCTTGTTGCATACAGAGAGCACACCTGCAGTTCAAACAGCAGAGAAAAGGCCAGACTTGACCTTGGGTCCGCATCGTCCAGCCAGATGCAGGCAGCACATTGCACTCCAGGGTTGCTTTTCTCTTCTGAGCTGTACAAACACATTGGCAGGACTGGGGTTTTGCAGCACCGATAAGTCCTGTGGATCTGGTGATCTGATGAGCAAAAGGAGGTGAAGGCAGGTGAAGTGGCATTCAGATCGTTTACTTACTGGCAGTTGCCCGTGGGCTGTGTGGCTAGTCCGCTTTCTTTTTGATGTTTGCAAAGCTTTAGTAATTGGCAAAAAAGTGTTTGTTAACTGACCTGGCTGCCCATCAGCATCTGCCCACCTTCCTTCTCAAGCCAAGATTCAGCAGAAAGATCACTTTGAGACAATCTTGCTAATCTGCCATTAGTTTGGGTGTGTGCAGTCCATCACACCAGGACCTTTCTTGAAATGAATTTCCTCTCATGAGATGCTGTCAACCGGCAGGTCATCCTGAAGACAGGGACCTTTGCTGAAGCCCTTTCATCTTCCCTAGAAAGTTTAGCTCATTAGCTGCCTCCCTTCTGCCCCATAGAGACCATTTCCATCCTACAGAGATTAAACAGAAACACAACATAAATGACAATGTCAAAGTCAAAACTCATTTTTTTTTTAATGATTAGTGTTAGTAATTGGTTTGTGAGTTGTTCAAAGAATCAGAAAGGAAAACATATTTTAAAGTCTTTGGCTCATTGCTAGGTCATTCTTGGGCTTTTGGATATCTCAACTGTATACTGAAGCATTCTGATTAGTACCTTTCTCGGGAGCATCATTTTGTGTTGTGTTCTGGTGCCATCACAGTCAGATCAGGTACACTGTGACCATGTTTAGTTTTCTGAGTCACACAGGTATTCAGAGCCAAAAGGAACTTATAAATGAAATCCAGCTTTCCCAGTTCTGAAGTTCTGTGATGGAAAGAGCTTGTACAACTACACTCCAGTGGGTGGTGGGGTCTGGTCAGCCACACTTCCCATTCCAGCTGACAGTGCTTTGCAGTTACCTAGAGAGCTTTTCCCAGTGTGGATGTCCATTCCACACCCAGACCAAGGAAATCAGAGGCTCTGGGAGAGGGGCCTTGGCATTAGAGATGCTTAAAGCTCTCCAGGGGATATCAGTGTGCAGTTAAGACTGAGCCCCGCTGGGCTCAGAGGATGTGTGTTCCAGAATGTTCACATTAAGGGGAAACAGGCCGTTCTTTCTAAAGTGTAACAGAGAACAGAGGTAGGCATGTGTGTTCCTAAGACCTGAACAGGCTCTGAGCAGCCTTGTAATAGAATGAGTACAAATTGGAGAGCCACCTCTACCACTTAATAATTGAGTGACTTTCACCAAGTCACTCTGCCTTTCTGAATGTACTTTAGTATCTTCCTTTTGGGGTGGCTGTGAGTTTTCCTGATAACAAAAAGCTCTGGATTAAGGACTAATGCATAACAGTCATATGAAAGCTATCATGAGGAGAGTAATGTTGTTGTTGTTGTTAAGTGCCGTCGATTTGGTTCTGACTCATAGTGACCCTGTATAGGAGTTCCAAGGTGTAACTGATGATTTTGAACCACCGACCTTGCAGTCCAGTGCTTATCCTACAGCGCCACACTATAGCACGCATCAGTTACAGTTGTGTAACAATGTTTTTTAAAGGGCAAGAGAAGCTTCCAACTGCCCTCCTGTCAGACTAAACAGGTGTTGCTATTCTTATCCCTTTCAGGTCCATCTGGGAAGCGGGATCTGGGTTGATGAGGAGAAATGGCACCAGCTACAAGTAACCCAAGGAGATTCCAAGTACACGAAGAACCTGGCAGTCATGATTTGGGGAACAGATGTTCTGAAGAACAGAAGCGTCACAGGAGTTGCCACAAAAAAAAAGAAGGATGCAGTCCCTAAGCCACCCCTCTCCCCTCACAAACTAAGCATTGTCAGAGGTAGGTCACTGCAGTAAAAACACAGTGGCTGAGACACTGTCCTTTACTGTGCCAAGAATGCACTAGATGCAATTCAGTTACGCAGATCTCACTGAAGTCAAACCCTGGGCTGGACACTCAGCAACACAGCGGACAGATCTGGACCCTGTTCCAGAACAGTACACATTTAACAGGGAAAATGAGCTATGGAACTAGCATGAGAGAGGGATGGATGACGTCTTCAGGGAGCTCTCAGGAAGGGAAGTTTACCCTTCATGGGAAATTGGGGAAGGAGTCACTGGATTGGGCCTTGAAAGGTTCATCAGACGTGTAGACATAGGTGTGTGAGAGGAAGTACTTCAGGAGGTAGAAACAGCTGGAGCAAAGGCTCGGACACGGCGAACAGAGTGGAGGTTGGGGCTAGGGGATGCCCCCTAGTCGATTCTAGCATCATTTCCGCAAAAGTCAGTGAGGTGAAGACCAACTGATATTCACTGGACTCTGTCAGCTTCCTTTCTGGTATACGTGGTGGATAGGGAGACAGGCAATGAGACAATGAGACGGGCTTCCCTAAAGATGTGGCTATATCCCGAACTTTTTGATTTGCCTGCCTTTCCTCCTTCCTCTCTTTCTTCTTCCTTAACGCCCTCCCTTTTGCCTACCTACCCGCTATTCTTTCACTAAGCTCCACTGGCTACTGAGGACACAAAGGATGCACAGTCCTTATCTTCTGGAAACTCAGTTTCATGAGGAAGTTGAGCACAAGAAAAACTAGTTACTGTATATAGTTGCTGTTGTTGGGTGCCATCAAGTTAATTCTGACTTACAGTGACCCTGTGTGACAGACCTGCAGGTGCCTTTTTGTGTTTTGTTTTGCTTTATGGAAGCCGACTACTGGGCCTTTCTCCTGTGGGCCTGATGAGTGGATTCAAACTGCCAACCTTTTCATTAGTAGCCAAATGCTTAATCATTGCACCACCTGGCCTTCTTAGTTACTGTATAAATAATACTAGAGAGAACACAGTAATTGCTCATTTTTTGCACAGTTATTGTGTTTCAGATTCTATTTGAAACACTTTTACATATATGAATTCACTGAATCCTTATAGTAGTCCTACTCTTGGTTACTATTATAATCCCTATTTTACAGATAAGGAAACTGAGGCACAGGGCAGTTAAGTAATTTTCCCCAGGCCATATTGCTAGTAGGGGTCGAGCCAGGAGTCCAAGCAGGTGAACTGGCTTCAGAACCTGTGTTCTAATTGCTAGTCTCAAAGCATCCAGCTCTGTGTTGAGGAAGACAATAAGACACCATCAATAAACATACAATTTTTTTTTTAAGTTTTTATTGTGAATTGAGTGAAAGTTTACAGGGCAGATCATCAATTTTACATTCAACAAATTGTATACTTTGTTGCATTACAATGATTATAATCCCCTCTTTGTACCATCAGTTAACAGTATTTCTCTCTATTCGTTTTAGCTCTTTTTTTTAAAAGACTCAGGCACATATAATAATTACACCACTAAAGGGCACATTCTGTAAGCCTGCCTCCTGGCCACCAGCTCTTAGTCCCTCTCTTTCCATGAATCTAGAGTCCTCAGTTGCTCCCTCTCTCCATGTCCCCATCTCTGCCTCCATCTCTGGTGTCACTGCTTCTCTGGATAGGGTCCCGAATTCCACTGTGCTCTTCTCCCTTGATGGTCCTAGAACCCTCTGTTTCTGGACTGTAAGATTAACTACACCCCCGTTTTTGTTACAAAACATCTACCTTTACAATTGTGACAGTCACAGCTAGTTATGATAACAATTACTCACTATTGAATCATAAGAATCTTATCCCCATCTCTTTTTATCAGACCCATCTAAACAAGGTGAAAACTATTCAGTAGGGTCTCTGTCTTCCCCCACACACTCTTAAACTAAACTCCCTCTTGAAACCGTGTAAGCCAGGCACTTCGTGCCTTTATTGCCCCCTCATTTTACGTAGCCAATGTCTTAAGTTGCCTGTCCCTATCTACCCTGTATGCAGAGGGGATAGCATTGATACTTGATATGAAGATTCCTTCACCCTCTGTTGGTATTTTAAGCTACTACCTCCATGAGTCCCGCTGTAGTGCTGTGGGCTAATGCATTAGACTTGCAATGTCATTTGAACTGCAAGGTCGGTGGTTCAAGCTCACCAGGTGCTCCTTGGAAACCCTATACAGGGTCACTATTGGTTGGAATCAATTTGACGACACTTAACAACAACAATAACAACCTCCATGAATATAGGTCAAGCTCATCAAATTGTAGTAATTTACCCTTGTTTCCTTTATCAGAAAGTGTTTTTATCTTCCTCTAGTTGAGTTCTGATGATAAAGCCATGGACTAGGTCAAATGGGCACTGTCTGCAAGTTTGGGCATTCTTGTGCATCCACCCCTCACTTTGTGTCAGCTGGATGCTTCACTTTCAATTCGACCCTCTGTGGCTATGACCTTGTCCATGGGCTTAGGTGTCCCCAGGTCTCAACACACTTTGGAGCAACCAGTCCTTCTTCTCTCTCTCATCTCCAGGTCAACAGGAGTCTATGGATTGTGGTTGAACTCAGCCCATTTCTTCATTGCTGCCTTCTCCCTCTTCCAATCACCAGTAGACCAGTGTGGTCACCAGCAAGCTTACATGCCTGCTCATGTGTTCCCTTTGAGTTTTAGTCTTAGACGGGCGTTTGTCATGAAGGGACTTGCTTACTTGCCTTGATGGCTTCCCGGCTAACAACTTGCTTATTCTTGTAGTAGCCAGTTGTACTGCCATTTTTGTTTTGGGTTTTTCCTGATGATATTTCTTTGAAGATGTAACTTCTGTCACTCTAGCTGTTCCAGGCTGGTCTGCTTGTCCTTTCCAGTGGGAATATCCCACCTCAGAAGATTCTGGATAGGGCTCAGGATTCCACCTAAGGTCCTATACTCTGCAAAGGCTCCGTAAGAGGCCTGTTTCACTGGGCAAGTTCTAGAACCCCTTTTAGGTAATTCAGTCAGTTACAGGCTGAAGATGGGCTCACAAGCTTTCTGTAATCGTGTTTCGCAACATTCCTTACTATCCCACCCAAGTGTCTATTTTACATTATTAGGAAAAGGAAACTAATATTCATAAGACAGTCAGGCATCTTAGTATTATTTCCCTTCCTCAGACTATGCCTCGATCCCTGTATCACAGAGCCCTGTCGTTCCAAGTTTGAGCATACATCCTCCCCACCCTACCCCCAACAGTAATCAACAAAGGGTTTTTTCCCCTTTTATTATGGGTATCTTTTCTTAAGCTCTTGCAATAATGCTCTTATGCAGTAATGGTCCTTTTGTGACTGACAAATTTTACTCGGCATAATTCCATCAAGGTTCATCCATGTTATGTGGTGGCTTATAGCTTCCTTGTTATTCTTCAAGGTAGCATAATATTCCATTATGTGTATATACAAAGTGTGTTTATCCATTCCTCCATTGATAGGCACTTAGTCTGTCTCCATCTTTTTGCTATTGTGAATAGTGCTGCTATGAACATCGGTGTGTATATATCTACTCGTGTTATGGCTCGTCTTTCTTGTAGATATATACCAAGTAAGTGAATTGCTGTATCATATGATATATTTTATTTTCTGAGGAAATGCCATACTGTTTTCCAGAGTGGTTGGACCATTTTGCATTCCCACCAGCAATGTAGGAGGGTCCCAGTCTCTCCACATCCTCACCAGCATTTATTATCCTCTGTATTTTTGAACTTCACTGTTGTTGCTGGTGTGAGATGATAGCTCATTGTGTTTTGATTTGCATCTGTCTAATGGCTAATGATCATGAACATTTCTTCATAATGTTTGTTGGCTGCCTGAATGTCTTACTTGGTAAAGTGTCTGTTCATGTCCTGTCCCCATTTTTTAATTGGGTTACTTGTGTTTTCTTGTAGAGGTGTTGTAATTTCCTATTGTTGTTGTTAGGTGCCATCGAGTTAGTGCCAGCTCATAGTGACCTTATTCACAGCAGAACGAAACACTGCCCAATCCTGGGCCAACCTCACTATTGTTGCCACACTTGAGCCCCTTGATGCTGCCACTTGGCCAGTCCATCTCGCTGGGGGACTTCCTTTTTTTCTCTGACCCTCCACCTTACCAAACATGATATTCTTCTCCAGCAACTGGTCCCTCCTGACAATATATCTGAAGTATCAGAGACGAAATTTGGCCATCTTGGCCTTCAAGGAGCACTCTGCTGCACTTCTTCCAACACAGATCTATTGGTTCTATGGGCACTTTAAATATTCTCCTCCAACACCATAACTCAAAAGGGTCAATTCTTCTGTGGTCTTCCTTATTTACTGTCCAACTTTCACATGCATATGAGGTTATTGAAAATACCATGGCTTGGGTCAGGCGCCCCTTAGTCCTCAAGCTGACATCTTTGCTTCTCAACACTTTAAAAAGGTCTTGTGCAGCAGATTTGCCTAATGCAATACATCATTTGATTTCTTGACTGCTTCTTCCGTGAGTGTTGATAGTTGATCCAAGAAGAATGAAGTCCTTGACAACTTTAATATTTTCTCCATTGATAAGAATGTTGTTTATTGGTCCAGTGGTGAGAATTTTTGTTTTCTTTACATTCAGATGCAATCCATACTGAAGGCTGTGCTTTTTGATCAGATTTTAGGATTTAGTCCCTTGTCTGATATGTCATTGCAACAAATATATATATATATTTTTTCCATTCTGTGGGCTCCATTTTTACTCTTTTGGTAAAATCCTTTGATGCAATAAGTTTCTAATTTTTAGAATGTCCCAGTCATGTCTTTTGTCTTCTTTTGTTTATGTGATTTTCACAATGTTTGGTAGTCTGTGTGCCCTGGATTAGAACCCTTAAGTTTGTACCTATTTTTTCATTGATAACCTTTATAATGCTGGGATTCACATTTAGGTCTTTAATCCATGCTGAGTTTGTTTTTATATATGGTGTGAGGTAAAGGTCTTATGTCAGTCTTATAAATTTTGTAATA